GGATAGCGTTCAAAAGAGCTGCAGGAAATTCCGAAGTCGTCTGGAGGCCGTGATTGAAGGCAGTGGCGATTGTGCTCAAGAAATTTACTCAATAGTAATTCATGATATTTTGTGCAATTTTGGCAAATATATATATTAAAATGAGATGTCAGTATTATTTTCATTCTTGCGTAATTTAGATCACAATTTATACATCACACAATATGCATGTATATAGATGTATGTATGTGTAAATATACATATATATAAAGATGTATAGATGCGCATAAATGTGTGTGTAATTATACATATATATTTGTGTATAAACAGACCTCCTTGAAAATGGCTAAATAAGTGACCGGAAACGCTTTAGACAATGTACACGACGAAAATTATTTTTGATCTTCCTTACTTCTACCAAACGAAAAAATGTAAGAACGCTGGAACTAAACAATAAATTAATTAAATTCTCCTTGTCTGTCATATTCAACGAAATATGTTTAAAAGCAAGTTTGCTGCCCATATTGAATATTATATGAATTGGATGTTATATATTCGGGTAATTATCTCTCTTTTACACATGTTTCATTGAATATGACAGAAAAGGGTACAATCATATGTTTCTATTAGATGTTCATCTATTTTTGCAGTGTTCCATTTTGGGAAGGGGCTAAGAGATCATAGAAGCTATGTCCAATACTTGTTATCCCAAGGCATTTTTTATGGAGTACGGTGTGAATATATTTTTGAATGTTTGGGCTGAAAGGTACATTATGTGGAACTAGTATTAATTTTAAGATGCATGAAAAAATGTCCGTGTGATTATGACAAAAGACCACATCTGAAGTTAAAAACTGAAAATATATTAACAAAGAACCCCTTGAAAATGGCAAATCAAGTGGCCGTAAACGCTTGAAACAATAACAATTTCGGACAGTTCTTCAACTCATTTAGGCCCCCAAAGGGAAACTGAAAAATAAAACATTAGTAATAGAAAAGATTTTCCTGATTAGCCATATTCAATTATATATACACACACACACACACACACACACACACACACACACATATATATATATATATATATATAGTAAATATTAAATAATTAGGAATCATTTACACATCCGCTACTATGGTTTCAACGATTGAGGTATCATCAGGCGGTAGATGATAGTTAATATTCTAATGTTTTATTGGCTTATTTTATGTGTGCACAACAGGAAGTGTGACAGAAGCGGAGGTGGGAGGCAAGAATAGGGAAGTAGTGTGGGATGGGGAGTAAAGGAATTATGTACTTTCATCAGGGTTCGTATAAACCCAAAATATACTTTTCAGTGGGTCTGCACACCGCCATGACCTTCGAACTTTCTTTAAACAGCTTTGCCTGGTCTGGACACGCTACTATTTCTAGTTGTTTCTTCCTAGCACAGTCTACAGACATCACTACCATTACTGTAAGGCTTGGCCCTCTGCAGTATGCTCCAGATGATATTAGGGCTATTGTGTTTATTTTTCCCTTTAACTCCCACACATGGCTGGCCATTCTAGTAGAATTTCTGTGCCTTTCGATTCTAAACAATGACATGAAAGAATCTTCATTACACCCTGTGATATATCTTCTCTGGCTATTTCCATTTTTCCCTTCCACTTTCTAAGCTATTCCTTTCGTTTCACAAATACCATCCAGTGAACATTTATCATTATCCTTATAGTTACACTTCTCACTATCCACCATACTCTGCTGCACGCTATCTTTAAAATTCTTATTGTTTTATCTTTTTATGCTAGTAAATCTGTAACTTAATTTTACTGTGTTTCTATTAAACATCTTGTGTAACACAGAACTCTTAGGGAAGTGCTTATCAAGCAACTTGAAAAACATTTTCCCTATGCTAGAACTCAGCTTTAGACTAAACAGGGTGTATGAAAATGCGTTGAAATAGAGTGGCATAAAACTAAATTGAAATTCAGATCTCAAATGAATCAACAAATGAGAAATGAAAAGAGACAAAGAAACATTATTTGGTTTAACCCAAACCCCCACGACACACACACACGCCGTTTTTTGTTTGATTAGTTTTTTTTCTTTAATGCAGTGGGAAATGTCATAATACCATTTTGAAATCAAAGGAAAAAATAATAATAACAACAATGATGATGATGATAATGATGATGATGATGTCCGTAGTAGTCAAGTCCGTTAATAACAAAGCTCTTTTTTTTGTCTGTTCACTTTTTGGTGATCGCAGTGTTGTTTAAGGATCATGCCTATTGGCATATGGATTTTTTGGTGACAGTTTCTTGTAAGAAAGGCGTGATAGTTACTTGTCAGCGGACGAATTCAATACTTACTGTACCAAGTTTATTTCCATGCAATTTTTTCGAATACTTCTTAATGGATATTTTATAGCATTTCTTAAATTTCATCGTCTCGTTTGTTCAGAAATCTTCATCTTCCTTGTCAGCTCATTCCCCTGCGTCGCCATAAGTGTCAGGATTCAAGAATTTACAAATTACACTGGTAGATCCAGAAGAAAGATTTGCTGTATCCAGCAGTAACATCAAGTAATTTTCCTTCAAATATTTTTTTCCCATTTGGACGGAACCCTGGGAATGTTTGGGATTTACAGAGAATCTTATAGATATCTCGATGAAGATTTAAGAAAAGTAAAAACAAACAAAAAAAAAATCCCAAGTGTTTTATTTTTCCGTTTCTTATAACCGAGAGATAGGCGTCCCTTACAAAATGAACCTCGTTTATCCGTTGGCAATATTAAACCTTTGACGCGTTGGTGTATATTTTCAGAATGAGAAATCTTAGAACCGAGTTTAAAATCCAATTGGGTTCGTTTCATTCATTTACGTGCAAAAAGCCTTCGGAATGATATAGATCTATCTTTGCTCCTCCAAACTATGGGTGAAATAGCAGGACGAACTGGGTCCTATAGACTTGGTTGGCAATCGATGTGCCGCAGAATAAAATGTCAACTGCGAGAAATCTTCTGCCTAGTCAGTCATGAATTGAAAGAGACATGAGCGCCCACACGTCTATCATGTATGGCACAACTGACTGACTAAATGATGGAATAAAACATGTTAGCGGTGTACCTACAATTCACTTGTACGTACATTATATTAATCTGAGCACGACACAAAAAACATTCTGGACGGAGTGTATAAGACAATTATCTTCTTTTACTCAAAATAAAGAATAATATAATTTCGTAAACATTATGTCCTCACTTGATTGGCATACAACATTCTCGGAGTCAAGTGCATTGTAAATAATTTTATCTTAGCTTGGAGCGACTGGTATTTAAAACTAATTGTCATTTTACTGCGTGGTCAGTAAAATTGAAGTGTGACAGATCCAAAACAACGACACGTTGTCCATAAATAGGGAGAAAGAAATAAAATGTCTAAGTAAAAAATGAACATTTCGAAATCAAATTAACCTGGTAGAGGATTTCGGCCATAGGCTTGTCGCTTAGCAGCATAGGCAAAGAATCAGAGTTAGAGTCATAATATGCAGATTTGCTGTTCTGGAAGAGTGACATATTACTTTTAAAAAAGACAGATCTCGTTGGCCTTTATATCGTCCTTTAATTTCTCATGAGAGAAAAGAATAAGTGTACAGTGCTTAATGTATGCCATGAATAAAGAATCTAAGTGATTAATTGTCTTTCTCACCAAAGAGATATCTGAAGACGATAGTGTTGCGGACCCGGTAGGGTGCAGTGCTGGATTATACTGAGTGGCCTTGTGCCAGACACCACACTAAACTACCGAGTCTACAAGCAAAGTAAAAAAGATAAAAATGCGTGGATGAACAACGAAGAAATGTGGTTAATCCACACGTGCATGATTAAAATATATTAACAAGATAGCCTCCTCGGAATGACTGAAAAGACTGGGTTTCAACAAGAGTAATTTTTATTAAATGCAGGAAAAAACAAGTAATTTGTCCCGTGGTAGGGACCAATGAAAAAGTTCCGCGCCAAAATAGAAAACAAGATGGCTAAAGGCGGGAAGTTTTTGAAGAAGAAGGAGATGCCAGATAAGTCAATGTACATGATAATATTCATACAAGGAAAAATACTCACTGCGAGTTTTTAGGTAATGTGAGTGAATGTTATTGTTATGTACATATTTTTTTTTTTTTTTTTGTACTGGTTCAAAACAGATTTCTGACGAGACCCAAAGTGGACGACGGATTGTTATTTTGTATGTTCTGCATCGACTCGGAGTAGGACTTTGAATGACTAGTCTCAAAGGGCCGAAAAGTAATTATTTGGTATATGCATCATCTCGTAGAAGGATTTTTGAATGACGAGCCGAAAGGGACGAGGAATTAATTATCTGGTGTTCTCATAGTCTTGTAGAAGAAATTCCGAATGACGAGCCAAAAGGGACGAGGAAAAAATTATCTGGTATTGCATCGTCTCGGAAAAGGGTTCTTGAATGACCAGCCAAAAGGAACGAAGAATTAATTATTTGGTATTTGCATCGTCTCGGGAAAATGATTATGAATGACGAGCCAAAAGGGACGAGGAAAAAATTATTTGTGGTCGCATAGTATTATTTCCTTCGCCAGTCAACCTGAAATATTGACATGGATAAAAATGAGTCTGCTTAGGTCCGAGTCTGGAACACCAACTGACTTTCTGAAACAACAGTTTGTCGTTGACGTCACAAATTTTTCGCGGGAAGATTTCAAAAATCTAATTTGCATAACAGGTCGCTTGGTTGGTGACCAAAAACAGTTACTACTGTATTAGACCGAACGAGGGAGAAAGGGGTGTCAAACGCGCGCGCGCGCCCGCGAGTGTGAAAGAAAGGGAGGAAACTCGCGCGCGCGTAAAATGTCGTAGATGGAATACATTATTCCACACAGCCCTCCTCCTGGATCAAATGTCGCAGACATTTTGACTAATAATAGTAGAATGTTTCAAATTTCTTTGGAAAGGTGACTTTTCGACCCGGAGCTGGTATACTTAGGTTTGTCGAGAGAAACAGGTGTCTTAAAATTCTCCTGAACTTGCGGAGTTGATTGGGAAGTAGTATGAGACGACGGTTTCTCTATAAAGGCAGGTTTCAACCGATCTATTGAAACGTTGTCGGTGTGAATACCTTTTTCGTATTTGGAAATATTTGTCCGCGCGTTTAAGAACGCGGAATGGGCCTGTAGGCCGGCGTAAGAGGCCGCTTAACAGAGTCATTACGTACAAATACAAATTCGCAGTCCTTGAGCTGGTGCGGTAGATAGATATCACTCGGGCAGTGCCGCGGTGGTGTATAGCATAAGTTTGCCATTTTAAGGCGTAAGTCCTGAATAAAAAGAGGAAGAAACTGGTGGTGTGGTCACAGCTGGCGAAAAATATTGGCCAGGTAAAAAAGATAACGAAGTACCAAATACAAGCTCTGCAGGGGAGCATTTCAAGTCATCCTTAAGAATATTTCTTAACGATAAAAAAGGATGAGGGTAATTCATCGACCCAATTATTATTCTCATGCTTCGTTGATAGCGAAGCCTTAAGGGTGCGATGGAATCGTTCCACCAGGCCATTAGCACAGGGGTGATACGCTGTAGTACGTATGTGCTTTGCACCAAGGAGTTCAGTGAATTCCTTGAAAAGACACGACTGGAACTGAGCTCCTCTATCTGTAGTAACCACTTTAGGAGTCCCAAAAATTGAAATCCAATCGCGTAAAATAGCTTTTTGCGACAGTCACAGCAGTGGTATCTTTAACAGGGATGGCAGTAGGCCATCGGGAAAAACGATCCACTATAGTTAGAAGGTAGGAATAACCGTGGCAGGTTGGTAAGGGCCCAACTAAGTCCAGGTGTATATTAGTAAAACGAGCATCAGGCTCACTGAAAGTGCCCACAGGAGATTTTTGTGTGTCTATGCACCTTACACTTCTGACATTGTAAACAAGTATTAACCCATTCGCGAATGTGAACGTTCATATTCGGCCAAACGAAACGGTCCGAAATTAACTTAACTGTGGCTCTTTTGCTGGGGTGTGAGAGTCCGTGTAGGTGGTCAAAACCTGTCTACGAAGAGACGGAGGAACATAAGGTCTTGAGATTTGGATTTTACATCACAGTATAAGACCTTGTTACTAAAGGGCAGACATTTCTGAAGTTCTAAAGAAGTGTCTGATAACACATGCTTCAGAGTTATGTCCGCTTCCTGTTCGTCGGCGATCAAATCTTGACTGAGTGCATCAGTATGCACGACAAACATTTCAGTACGAGATAGGGTATCGGCGACAGTGTTATCGAACCCTTAATGTACCTAATATCAGTAGTAAATTGCGATATAGTCCAGGTATCTGATCTCCCTCGCAGTGTATTTGTCCGAATTAGTGGACATAACGGACGTTAAAGGTTTGTGGTCCGTAAATATAACGAAGGACCTACCTTCGAGGAGGTGTCTGAAATGCTTAATGGCACGAAATATAGCCAACAGTTCACGAGAAAAGGTACTGTAGCGTGACTGGGCAGGAGAAAGTTTAGCGGAAAAGAACGCTATAGGTCTACGTTGAGAAGGAGTGACTTGTTCAATGACCGCGCCTATTGCTGTTTCGCTAGCGTCAGTGGTCAGGTAGATATCCGATTGAGGGTCGTCCTCTAAGAAACTAAGCTTAGAAAAATTGCCTAGAGCGGTTTTAGCTGCTCGAAAGGCGTCCAAGGCTTCATTCTCAAGTATAATAGTCTTATTCTTCTTCTTCTGTAATAAATTGGTAAGGGGAGTCAGGATGTTAGAACAGTTTGGAATAAACCTCCTGTAGAAGTTGATCATCCCTATAAAGCGTCTCAACTGTTTAATAGAAACAGGGACGGGAAACTCAGTGATAGCTTTAATCTTTTTCAGTTAAAGGGGCAATTCCATTTGCATCGACGTGATGTCCTAAAAATTCTATATGGTCTGATCCGAAGACACATTTGTCCAGGTTTAGACGAAATCCGTAATGGGACAAACGTTGAAGAACTTCGTGTAGGTGTTGTTTATGCGAGGCAGCGTCCTCGCTAGCTATCAGAATGTCGTCAATGTAATCGAAAACAAAAAGGAGTCCACGCAGAACCTCGTCCATAAGACGTTGGAATGTCTGTGCTGCGTTGCAAAGGCCGAAAGGCATTTTCAAAAATTCAAATAGACCGAAAGGTGTAGTAACAGCAGTTTTTGAGACATCAGCAGCAGCTACTGGCACCTGATAATATGCTTTTGCTAGATCTATTTTAGTAAAAATCTTTGCGCCTTGTAAACCAGAAGTGAAATCGTGGAGGTGGGGGATTGGATAACGATCCCGGACGGTGATGGAATTCAATCTTCTATAATCCACACAAATTCTATAGTCCTCCTTTCCTGATTTAGGTACTAAATGGAGAGGGAAGCGTAAGGACTGTCGGACGGACGAATAACACCCTCTCGTAGCATGTCGTCGAAAGCTTTCTTTGCGAATTTTAATTTGTTAGGTGCTAGACGACGAGGACGGAAAAAACAGGTTGACCAGTGGTCTTAATAAAGTGCTGTGTTTGATGTTTAGTTGAATCAATAGATCCAGCAGGACGCAGGAGGTCCTGGTACTGATTCAATAAGTCTAAGTACTCTTTATTGTGGCACGTTGCCACGGTGATGCCAGTGGTAGTAAATTTAGAATAAGTGCCAAGAACACACAGTCTTGTTAAGTTGTCAGTCAGGGAATGGTTGTTCATTCGCACGGCGAGATCATAGTGCGCCAGGAAATCTGCCCTAATATCGGCATCTTGACGTCAGCAACAGTAAAATTCAAGTAAAGTCTCGTCGCATCCCTATGTTTAGGGTAAGGGACTTCGTACCGTAAGTATTAATACTGGAACCATTTGCTGCTTGTAAGCGGAGCTGAAAAGGTTGTTGACGAGCTTTATCACGCACGGGTAAGACACTAATGGCAGCGCCGGTATCAACCAAAAACGTAAATTATTACGCGTGTCCGTCACATAAAAAAGGCGACTAAGTTTTGGTGAAAATGCCTTGCCAGCGAGATTAGTCGCTTTCACTCGCTGGCGGTTTTGTTTTCCGCGACCGCAGTATAAGTACACGGCTTGATGCAGTAATAAGCTTTAGACCCAAATCTTCGGTGGTAGTAACACATAGTAGGAGTGGCATCCTTATCTCGGCTGGACGAGCGTGGTCGACTTCTGAAGCGCCGGCGGAAGGGAACCGGCTTCGACCACGGCTCTTTAGAGCTAATGTTAAATCTTAACTTGGCGCTGCAATTCCTCGACTGTTTTTCAAGGACCTGTGGTCTCCAGTCGCTTCAGCACTGTGTACCGGCGTTGTCTGATTATCCAGTTGCGAGAAAATACGATCCGCGGCGTCCGCTAATTGATCGATCGAGGTGTTTTCGGACATTGGCGCCAAAATTTGGGTTATGGTGGTGGGGAGACGGTCCAGCCACAAGCTTTTTAATATAGAGTCAGCCATGGTATTTTTGCCGAGTCGGCTTTTCATATAACGAAGAAGTTGGGAGGGAGTCCTGCCATCACAAGTTAGGTTGCTAAATAGTTCCCGGATTAATGACTCTCTGTACGGCCCATTCTCCTTAAGATTGCTTCTTTTAACCGCGCGTAGGGTTCTACTTCAGGAACGGCTTCTTAGGAAGTCTGAGACCTCATCGACAATGGCGGTGGCAAAACCGCCACCACGTGGCCAAACTTGGTCTTTTGGTCTGTAATCCTTCTGACTGTGAAAATGGCTTCCATTTGTAAGAACCAGTTCTTTATATTCCCTTCATGAAAGGGGGGAAAAGGAGCGACAGCGGCGGACATGTTCGCCGACTCTTCAGAGTCACTAGACGTCATTCCGGCTATCGAATTTATGCACGTTTATATTTAAGCTTGCTCAGAAATATGTTGGCAAGGTTGCAAAATTATTACGTGTTCGTATCACGTCGTAAGGTCACCAATTTTGTTGCGGACCCGGTAGGGTGCAGTGCTGGATTATACTGAGTGGCCTTGTGCCAGACACCACACTAAACTACCGAGTCTACAAGCAAAGTAAAAAGATAAAAATGTGCGTGGATGAACAACGAAGAAATGTGGTTAATCCACACGTGCATGATTAAAATATATTAACAAGATAGCCTCCTCGGAATGACTGAAAAAGACTGGGTTTCAACAAGAGTAATTTTTATTAAATGCAGGAAAAAACAAGTAATTTGTCCCGTGGTAGGGACCAATGAAAAAGTTCCGCGCCAAAATAGAAAACAAGATGGCTAAAGGCGGGAAGTTTCTTGAAGAAGGAGATGCCAGATAAGTCAATGTACATGATAATATTCATACAAGGAAAAATACTCACTGCGAGTTTTAGGTAATGTGAGTGAATGTTATTGTTATGTACATATTTTTTTTTTTTTTTGTACTGGTTCAAAAACAGATTTCTGACGAGACCCAAAGTGGACGACGGATTGTTATTTTGTATGTTCTGCATCGACTCGGAGTAGGACTTTGAATGACTAGTCTCAAAGGGCCGAAAAGTAATTATTTGGTATATGCATCATCTCGTAGAAGGATTTTTTGAATGACGAGCCGAAAGGGACGAGGAATTAATTATCTGGTGTTCTCATAGTCTTGTAGAAGAAATTCCGAATGACGAGCCAAAAGGGACGAGGAAAAAATTATCTGGTATTGCATCGTCTCGGAAAAGGGTTCTTGAATGACCAGCCAAAAGGAAAGAATAATTAATTATTTGGTATTTGCATCGTCTCTGAAAAATGATTATGAATGACGAGCCAAAAGGGACGAGGAAAAAATTATTTGTGGTCGCATAGTATTATTTCCTTCGCCAGTCAACCTGAAATATTGACATGGATAAAAATGAGTCTGCTTAGGTCGAGTCTGGAACACCAACTGACTTTCTGAAACAACAGTTTGTCGTTGACGTCACAAATTTTTCGCGGGAAGATTTCAAAATCTAATTTGCATAACAGGTCGCTTGGTTGGTGACCAAAACAGTTACTACTGTATTAGACCGAACGAGGGAGAAAGGGGTGTCAAACGCGCGCGCGCCCGCAGTGTGAAAGAAGGGGAGGAAACTCGCGCGCGCGTAAAATGTCGTAGATGGAATAATACATTATTCCACAATAGTATTCAAGTTTTCATCTCGTGAGATATCTTACGTTTATCGTTGGACGTACACTGATCATTTCTCAGGGAATCTAGCCACGGCGTCGAACTGACGTTTACCAGTCAGTGAAAACTGCCCGAGGGACACGGAGCATATGTCCACTTTTTCTCTGTTTTTAATTACTACGTTAGTAGCATTTTGACTTTTCCTGCATTTAAATACAAGTCAATTAATGAAATCAAATCAATCCAAAGAAGCTATTTTGTTAGACAATCTTCTGTAACTATGAAGTTCCCGATCATGACAAACAACATCACGCTATAAATGATGAACACACTCATATTTTGTCATCAATTGCAGAAGACTTTTTCACTCATGTTAAGTTGATTTTCTAAGTGTAGCTTAGATGAGGAACAAGGCCGAATAAATGGGGCATCCAGTGAGGATCAAACTCACTATTCAATCGTAATTTTTCTAGCGAAACATGCTTAGTAACCATTATACTAAGTCGAGGTGTCACTTCTACTAATTTTATGGTTAGAATATCTGAAGAATTCGGAATTTCGTGTTTGAAACTTTGAAAATTCGATCTCGTGTAACAAAACTAAAGGTGACAGATTTTCGATATTGATTGAATTTCCGGAATAATGATGAAAAAGACGAGAATATGTTCAGTTAGATGTCAATCAGATGAAATTAATTTTAGCTGATGAAAAAATAAGCATTTCCAGTAAGTGTGTTCATTTCTCATATTTTAATTCTTGATAGATGTACACTGAGGTCTGAAATCTTAATCGATATAGAAATTTCGGCTGACACCAACGCTCTGGGTCGGTGTAGCCATTCACGTGTCCAGAATTTTACCTTGTTTCTTACTTATTCTCCAGAAACTAGGCTAGTGACCTTTCCTACGTCTCCTTCTACCTTCTGCCCTTCTCGTGCTTCTCTCAGCAACGTTTTCCATGGCGAATCCATTGTTGGTATCCGTGGAACGAAGTTTAGTTCATCGTCTATAGTTCCCAAGCCTCTGGGATATCACCGTTTTATTTTTAGGATTCGACTATTAATTTGCCAACACAGAGGATACTTTTTATTACTGAAAGCACATGACCTATTAGACTAAATTCTAATAATTTATTTCCCGAAAATTAGTCCTTCTTTATAACTTTGTCTATATGTAAAAAACGACCCATTCGTTCAATGTTACCATTATTATGATTACATTTTCGAAAACCATTTTCTCCGAAATTATTCTAAGAAACATCTATTATCTATCTAAAGATTCTTGACAAAATCCAAAGAAGAATCTGCAATGATAATGATCCTGACTTGGCATCTTGAATTCGTTCAATGTTACTATTATTATGATTACATTTTCGAAAACCATTTTCTCCGAAATTGTTCTAAGAAACATCTAGTCTTACGTTTCTATTATCTATCTAAAGATTCTTGACAAAATCCAAAGAAGAATCTGCAATGATAATGATCCTGACTTGGCATCTTGAATTCACACACTTTCACACCACCGTAACATAACTCCCTGTGTCCTTTCAATAAATATTTACATAGAAACTTTTCTGATGAGCTTTCCTCTTTGGTACCTCAAGTTTACGAATTTAAGCGCAATACAAGATTGGCAACTAGGTATCATTCTTTTATAGATGAAAATTTCTTGATTCTTTACCATAATTTCTATGTTTCATTTCATAATAATTTCTTCGACTTCTTCCTTTCCAGATATTTTTTTCTTAGATTCTTTCACTCTCAGTAACCCTTGTCTCTTAGTGACTTTATCGGTTTTCTTGGAGTGAAATGATTAAAAAATACCCACTGTGATGTAAACAACTTAATCTCACTATTTGTGTTTTAGAGATTTAGTTACTTTCATCATTGTCGCCCAAGTTTGGCAAGAGTTGTGTGTGTGTGTGTGTGTGTGTGTGTGTGTGCGTGTGCGCGCCCGCGCTATTCTGTACCCATTTAAGCTAAGTTATCAGCAAGTTACAATTCGGCTTCGATTTTCAAGAACCCATAAAGTTATCTTATTTCTCTTAACTAATTAAATTGTTAATTAGTTTTTTCCACATATCTAATTCCAGACGTCACTAAACGCTATAACGTCTTTTCTCACGTTTTCACTGGTTGCGTAATGTAAACCTGTGCCATTTTCCATTAAACTTTCTTTGTCAACCACTGTCCAGTTTCCTTTCAGCGTTATTCACCTTATACTTGTGAATTGGTACCCAATTCCATCTAATATTCTAGTAGAAACAGTTGCGTGTTTACAAAATCAAACACAGACAAAAGAGCGCATCAATAAATCTAAACAAGGCCGACACGATGTTAACTGAAATGTTGAGGTCTTATTTTCCGTGAGCAACGAACAGGGAAATGGAAATACAAAGGATTGTTGTTGGAATCAGAAAAAAAAAACAATTGGAATTTTCTGGAGAAAGAAGGCTTCCAGAATTCAACACCCACAGAGTATATTGAAAGCATGAAGCCAAGCGGAAAACAGCCAATAATTTTTTGCAGAACAGGAAGTAAGAGGAGCAGTAAGGGAGCAAATATTACTCTGAGCTACAAAGGATAGGAAGTTATAATGAGCTATAGCAAGGTACATAAAAGACGATTGTACAAATATGTAATTAATATTCATGACAGAATTATGTGCATTAACAATGAAGGCAGTTGAGTAGGCTTAGTTGATTTTACGATATCACATCGCTCATTGAAGTCTCTATTGGCCACTCACTAACTACACAATAAAAATAAGAATCACTTCACTAACAGTCGATACCCTGTAAGGAAGAGGCATTATTTTGAAAATTATATATTTGCTGTATAAAATGTCTTTTCATCTTTTGATTGTGGACATTCATACATCTACTTAAAAAATGTATCTTTCTTACGAAGTGCAATTTCTTGATTACGAAATCATGTGCCATTTGGCTTCTTTCAATGTTTTCACTCTCATATCTATAGTCATGTTCATGTATGAAAAACAGACAAACAAATGGGGCAAGACAGAAATAACAGGATTCAGACATTTCCTTATGTAAAAGTTAGCAAAGATATAACAGGGATGTTTTTCCCGAGTGGTTTAAGGAGAGAATCGAGTCACTATTTCCTTCCTGGTTTGTCTTATAGAGATGGAACCGTACGAGGTCATATTTTATTAAGCAAATCAATATTGGTATTAACCGATGCTAATAAAATTCTTTCTTGTAAAGTGCAAATTATATGAACAAATTTCTGCAACGGATACTTTTAAAAACTGGTACGAACCG